AAACTCTCATTGGATTACATGAACGACGTAAGAGAAATTACAAAATTGAATTCATACAGAAAAATCGATACAAACCGCAAGGTCATAGGATATGGCCAGGAGGCAAATCAATAACGTAGGAAAGTTAAAACACTGTGGGCAGCAAAAAATGGGGAAAAACGTCTAAGGTGGAAAAAATTGTAAAGGGGACTGGGTAAATCTGGGAGTGGGATTTTACCAAGGCAAAGCTAGGTTAACCACACAGTCGCTTTCCTATTGCTTCTGCCTCAAACGTTTTTTTTTCACTTTTACTGCTCAGAGTATTTTAAATTTCCTACCTTATTGATTTACCTCTTGGCCATATCTTATCACCTTGCAGTTTGTATCGAATTTTCTGTATGAATTCAATTTTTTAATTTCTCCTACGTCATTCGTGTTATGCAATGAGAGTTAGCAGCTGATGAGCACCCCTGAAATTTATGGATGCAATAAATCCTGCTGTTCTTGCAATATGCACATTTTCACCTAGAAAGCTCCACTTTAAATGTCTTGGGATGCTCGTATTTCAACACAAAGATAGACAAGAAGAGCAATATTCACTTGCGAACACTGTGCACTTTTCTCAAATAAGGGATCATAGTCCAGCAGGCGCTCGCGAAAATGTGCAGTTGTCTGGTCCCATTGCACTTCCTTCAACATCAATGGAAGGTAGCAGTTCAAATTCGCATTTCCAGCCTCCTTATAGGCCATCGCCGCCCATCGTGAAATGCTTCCAAAGATCTCTTCCTCCGAATTCACGGCCAGACGATCACTTCGCAACAAAGACAGCACAGTGTCCGCCGGCAGGCGGATGAACAAATCGCTGTAGGCAAAATTCTCAAATTGGGCTGCCATTCGTCGGAGGCAGGCATCCCTCAGCTGTGGACTATCAAGGCAGCTGGCCAAGTACCAAGTGGCTTCCAGATGTTCTGTGCTGACACTAACAATGGTAAGGTGAATAGAATTAACCGGGGACCTACTTTTTGGCCAAAATTTTCACTGCCCAATTCATCAGTGCGGGAAGATGCACCATTTTCGCTAAGCCGGCAAGACCCAGTGCGTTTTCTCGGGTAATTTCCACCTGCCCAGTGTAGGCATACTGGACAAGACTAGTTGCAAGGCTAGAAAATGCATAAGCAGCAAGTATAAATGCGGGGTGTGCCAAGAGAATGTAATTGTAAGCTTGATATTTTTATAATTTTGTTATTTCAAAAATGTGAAGATATTTACAAGCATCGTTTTATTGTTTTTATATATCGGCTAAGGGCAGGAGGGAAAACTGAGAGCTCATTTCGGGGTTCGTGGTGGTCTGGAGATGAACTGCGGTTGGTCCGATATATTGAGACGTGGCGAGTCCATGAGAGTGACAAAGACAAGTAATAAATAATAATAAATAAATTGTATATTTAAGGCCCTTTTTATTCAGTGAATATTAAAAATTTTGGGTAATATTTCTTCTCTGATCTCTCAAATATACAAATGTATGCCAGGAAATAACCTATACAATAATAATTAGCCTTAATTAAATTCTGCCGGGACTTACCCTCCTATCTCCTTCTAGGGTGCGCCTTCACGGAGGGGCCATGTGTTTGCAGGGACGTGTTTGGTGCGTACTTACTTTGGGTCCATTACTGATGCGAGATGACGACACTTCATTTTCATTTAGTTAGCTAACTGTACGAGGACAGTGTTCCTATGTGTGGTATGCGAGAAACACCAACCATGGCAAATTATATCTAGCGATTTTGAATAGGTTTGTACACTACGGAACACCCGCGAATAAGGTCACCTCTGGCCGAATGGCTTTCATTAGTGATTCGTGTAGCGAGCGAAGACGTTGAAGTTGGCACACACCTAAAAGAGTAGTTCACTTGTACATGTCTCCGGACTTAACATCAGCTGTCTTGTTTATCAGGTATAGGGGTGAATAATAATATCAGGCAGGTAACATAAAATGTCTACTATTGTAAAGCCAGGAATAACTATCAGCTAGGCACCGGTGGGTAGTACGGCGTACTTTACGACTGCAAAGGCGGGACCTGGGGATGCTGATGGTAAGTAGACTACGGTACGGGACGATACAATAGCGGGGAAAATGATGCCAGAATGGGAAGGAACATCGCCGTCTTCACCACCATCACTATTTAAAGTGAATTAACTTTTTTAAATTAAGTTTTATACAGGGTGTCCCAAAAAATGTATACACATTTTAAATAACTGTTTATTTTGAGTTCATTGTTTCAAAAATGTAAAATATTTACAAATATGCTTTTATTGTCTTTTTCAGTCGATGTTCTCAAACTGTCGTCCATTTTGAATTAGACATTGTTCCAAGTACCACTCTCAATACTGTACCTTTCGGTCTGGTGCATCGTCATTAAGAGCATGAACTAATCTTGTGGTATAAATTTTCCAGTGGCAACGTTGCATAATGCGAGAACATGCAGTAAAAAACACAAAAAGTTACTTGTAAATGTCTTTACATTTTTGAAATAACAAAATTATAACAAACACCAAGCTTCAAATTATTTAAAATGTGTATACACTTTTTGTGACAGCCCGTATACGAGCAAATGTAAGGCTTACCTTAGATGCACCTTCGGCCATCGTAGGATGGTAGTATTTCTCCCGAGGGAGCTGTTGCCAGAGGTTCGCAAGGCTGGAATGCGAGCAGCTAGCACGACTCGGTGCACTTGCAGTCGGGCCCCACCTTGAACCTAACGTGCCGGTTAGAGAAAAGTATCAGCAGGGGGAATCTACCTCGATGGTGAGGTCTGTGAGCTCTCCGGCTAGCCGAAGATCATTCAGAGCAGGGCAGTTGCGAATCAGAGGTAGTTTGTCCTCAAAGAGTTGAACCTGTGAGGCAGACATATCTGGTGTAGCTGGTATATCTGGTGTATCTGCATTTATAGAGTGCACTTTAAACCTACGCATACGTCATAACTACCTGAGCAGCAAAAAAGTGTTCATCGTCTTTGATTGGATAGTGGATGACGCACTGACGATGTCGAGGGCTTCAGTGAGTAATGCAGGGTAATTTTATTGGTGACGTATGTTGACGGTGAGACTTGTCTGATGTGTGTACTGGCAATGGCGAAATTTTTAGCAAAAACTGAGATGTAGAAAATAGTTTTTTTGTTTAACTTAGTTTACGGAGTGAGTGAAATGCCTGAGAGTCACACAGATACACAGTTAAAGCTTGTCTCAGTTTCAACCCATGGTTTGAATTAACCGCATAAGTCTTTTAAACAATTTGGCCTTCTCAGTGTTTATGGATTAAATAGTTGAAGCAGACACCCAATTTAGGAGGAATACTGCATGACACATTTATTCTGTTGAAAGAACACAAATCCTCTATCGCTGGCCAATCAGCTTTCTCCCTGACGTTAGGCTCGACCTCAAAAACATACTTACAAGGCACTACATCAGCTATGGCATTTTTTTACTCTAAACCCATCGCAGGGCGTTAAGTGAGTCAAAGCCAGAAACTGCGATCTTCAGACTATTGTTTTTTAGTAGAGAAGAGAAGTCGATGAAGGCCACAGTGGTGGGAAGAGTATATTGTGTACACAAAGGAACGCAGAATAGATGAGAGAAGTTTGACTTGGGAGAACACGTCCGCTCAGGAGATTGACCGGGTCCCAAGTAACTGTTTGAGAGCAGTCAGGCCAGTAGACAGAGAGAGAGCGTTCATTGGCTAGGTCGGCCTGTGATTGGTTGGAGAGTGTGTGATTGGTCCACGTCACGCGAGTTTGTTAGTCTGGCGACCGCAACGACCTTGACCTCTAGGCAGATTGAGGCCACGACAGGAAGGCCAGACGTCGGCAGGCAACGACCCACTACAAACCCACTAATAAATGAACGGAAACGAGTACTGGGAGCCAGAACCCTAGCCTAGCTGACGAGATAACAGGCTATCTTACAAGTGCCGAGATTTCCTCAAGTTCTGTGAGGCGTCACAGGGATTTTGACTGCCAAAAAGGAAGATGACGATTATAAAATACACTATACTACTGTTTTATTTAGGTAGTCCTGGCTGAATTCAAAAACACTGTGAATCAAAATAGGCGGCACCTGGACAGGTCGAGACCCAATCCGAATGTACGCCGTATTTTGATCTTTAAAATGCACTGAAAAGGACAGTAGGGTGGATTGTACTGACCGACATTTATTTTCGGCAGGTGAACAGTAATAACATATCTTTCGGCAAATAAAATTCCTGGTAAAGACATGGAGTATGGAATGAATATTTCTGACTTATGAGCTCTCGTAAGTTAGCCATACCCAAAGTAAAGTGGTCCCCGAGCTGGAACGTGCGACCATTTGATCAGAAGTCGAAGGCTCCGAACATTACCAGTCGCTGGGCGATGGCCTACAGAGCTCTAGGTGGGCCGCCAGGCGAACAGGCACCAGTATTCCAGTTAAAGCGAGGAAATAAGGAGTGTATAGAGCCGGGGTTGGCAACCTACGGCTCGCGAGCCAGGTGTGGCTCTTCTGACGATTGCGTCTGGCACTCTCGAATAAAATTGGAATTAGAAACGTCAGATTTTGTGATTTTGGCTCCTCCAATGACGTGCGGCAGCCGAGATGTGTATTAGAATCGATTAAATCTCGATCAATCTCTGGCGTTTCGGCCCCTTACGTTTGACCAAACAGTTGGTTCAATATTCTCTTTCCGGCTAGCCGACGGCAGCTGCTTCCCTTTTCTCTTACGTATCAAAGGTCGCGACAAGCTCGCTAAATAACAGACGCTACACTAGCTAGTTGGTTTCACATCCTGTCTCCAACAGTCGTTCAAAGCACACTTTGGAGAATTTCGGGAGCATATTCGTCACCCATCACCCATCCAATCGAGTGCCCACTGAACACAGCCGACCTAAGTTATATTCCTGGTGTCTCCATTAGAGATTTCGAAGAAGTGGCTGGCCAGAAGGCCTCAACTATGCGCATGAATAAATTCAAGTCACTCAATGAAGATTTGGAAAGAATCGTACGACATAAAGGGGAGTTGGCAAACAAGCACATGTGGACAGAAATTAAAAAACTTCAACCCGAAGACCAGCTGATAAAAAAAACTTGGAACATGATTCCTGTTACATACCTCACACTACATCATGTGAGTATTGCTGTTTCGACATTGTTTGGATCTATGTATGCATGTAAGCAGTCATTCTCACATCTTAAATACATCAAGTCCACCCTACGATCACGTCTTACGGATGAAAACCTCAACGCTTGCGTGAAGCTCAACCTCACCAACTACCAACCAGCCCACAAAGCCATCAGTAAATCCATGCAGCACCAGAAGTCACATTAACAATGAGCTTATAAAAACATTATTTAAAGAATAAATCCGGGGGCTTATTCTTCTCACATCTACTTGAATTTGACCTTAAAATATACTATATGGCTCTCACTGAAATATATTTCCAGCTATTTGCTT